GGTTAGGGGCTGTGCTGCTGACCGCTGACCTGTTCCAGCCTGCAGCTGGTCAGGCTCAGGTTAGGGGCTGTGCTGCTGACCGCCTGCAGCTGGTCAGGCGCATGGCAGGAGCTGTGCTGCTGTCCACCCTCAGGCTGTGCAGGGCTTCAGCAGTGTATCTAGTGCTGGCCAGATGTGCACAGACCAGCCTTCAACACTACTTTATATTGGCATATATACACTGACTGGCACTGATGCCCTCATATCCTATTCCTGCTCTTAATTTAGGAGCCATAAGTAACCACATTTTTTTTTGTTTTCTTTCTTCTGCTTTCCTGAAAATGTGTGACATTGCACCTCATATTTGCCCTCTAATGAGGTTCCAGGGGAATTTAAGCTTTTTTTGCTTTGATCTAAAACCTGGACTGACAGTGTGATGGCAGGACCGTTTCACTGCCAGCCTGCAGGAGGCGCACAAGGGCATCGCCCTGCTGCAGTTTGAGGCATACCTTAGCATAGGTGCAGGTCTCCGAGAGCTGCCACACAGGACACTTCTTATCACACAGCGGGCACATCATGGTGTTGGCATCGCACACCTCTGAGCTGCCAGCACACAGACACAAGAGACAGCTTCATCAAACAAAAACTGCTTTGACTTTGTTATTTGTTCATGACAACAAAACATATTACATTTCAAAGCCTTTAAAGACATTTAAATAGCAGGTTAGGTGGTGAATAGATAATAGAAAATATAAATTGATGACCTTATGAAAATGTGCTATATGTTCTGCCATTTTCTCATTCATTTACTATGCTTATACTGCACATCTGCGGTGCTTTGCAGTGTACAATGCTTTTTCCTTACCTCTCTGTGCTTTTAGCACAATTGAACATGTCTTACTGCCATTCTTCCAGTTTTTACAATGGCCTACCAAGGTACAGTTTTCCACACTTTTAAATTTCTAAACTCGGTGGAGTTGTCTGCCCTTTTCCACAGTGCCTTTACTCACATGACGGGGTTGTTATCGAAGAAGGCTAGTCCATTCAGGAACACAACCATCCCCAATATAGCAGCAGGGATCAGCAAGGTGGTGTACCAGCCCAGCCACAGGAAATACAGTGCCACCTTCTCCCCGAGGTAGTTCCTGACACACACACACAGACCCATCAGATAGCCCTGAGGCCACAAGCCAACAGACAATATGCACTTCATAGCACAGATGCAAATAAAACTGTACCCTTCAGGCTCATTTGACCATCTAGCTCAACTGCCCAGCCCGTGGACTGATTGGATGATTAGATACTGCAGGCCTGTGGGCTACTGATTCACATTACAGAAGGTCAATATATCACATGATTGAACGTGCATTACGCCTTTATATGTTCACAATCGCATGTTACGCTAACTGCATTAAGTTTCAAGTTCCAAATTCCAAATATAGGAATAGGAAGAACTCCACCATATTAAAATGTGCAATTTTCCTACAGCACGTCCGTGTGCCTGTAATATTAATAGCTGTGCAACAGGATATGCCCAAGTATATGCTACCAGGTGGATAGGTTTGTGCTCACTCCGTTATGTGCTCGGTGTTTTGGCTGTTCAATTCAATGAGGCAATGTTGTGCCTAACAGCAATCAATCTTTTTTTCCCCAAACTAAGAAGTGCTTTGCTTAACTAATTAACTGATTAATTAAATGCTTTGCTTAACTCATTTAACTCATTTAACTGAGGCCTACGGTCCTCACCGCACATCATCGATGGGTTGCCACTGGAAACAGGCTGTCCAGCGCGCCCATTTCTCCCTCAGTTCTTTCTGTTTCTCCTCCTGAAAGCAAGAGACAGGTGTCAACACTGGACAGTTGACCGTTTGTCATTCCAATCAGTCTGCCGCGTACCGAGGATTAAAGGAATCTCTTTATCCTGAATTCAAGAAGGTGGTGGGGATATTGGGAGAGAACCGGAATCCAGAGAGGGGCTGATGAATTCAACCCAAACTTCCAAAGCAGCGCATACCCAGGTCTAGAGGGCAGGAAGAGCTCAGAAAGAAGGGAGGTCTGGTATAGCCCGGTCTGCTCCACTGGCTTCTCAACAGCTAGCAGCCATATCGCCCTGCAGCTCCCAGCTGGCAGCCCCACTGGAGCTCAGCAGTGTGAGCCTGGTCAGTACCTGGATGGGAGACTCCTGGGAAAGCTGAGGCTGCTGCTGGAAGAGGTGTTAGTGGGGCCAGTAGGGGGCGCTCACCCTGTGGTCTGTGTGGGTCCTGATGCCCCAGTATAGTGTCGGGGACACTGTACTGTAAAAAGGCGCCGTACTTCAGATAAGACATAAAACTGAGGTCCTGACTCTCTGTGGTCATTAAAAATCCCAGGACGTTTCTCGAAAAGAGCAGGGGTGTTACCCCGGTGTCCTGGCCCAATTTCCCCCTGGCCTTTACCAGTCATGGCCTCCTAATAACCCCCCTCTCTGAACTGGCTTCATCACTCTGCTCTCCTCCCCACTGAGAGCTGGTGTGTGTGAGAGGACTGGAGCATCATCCAGGGGGGGCTGCACACTGGTGGGGGTGGAGGGGATCCCCATGACCTGTAAAGAGCTCTGAGTGGAGAGTCCAGAAAAGTGCTGTATAAGAGTAAGGATATTATAATAGAGTGGCACTGCTCTAAAAATATATCTACCAGGGTAACCGAGGGTATAACTCAGGCCCCCCAGCAGACAAAGGAACTACCTGAACCAGCAGGTTTGCAGGCCAAAGGTGTACTCTTGTGCAGAGCACTGACAAATTGTTAGACCATCTGAAGTTCAAGGGTGAGAGTGCAGAAATGGGCAGTCATGCCAGGGAATTCCTCACTCAGCGATGGAATGCTGTCCATCGTTTTTGACAAGCAATCGTTCGATGTGGGTTTTTTTGTCTTTGACCTCTACGGGGTGGTGCGAGGTTTTCTATATTTTTCGGCTTCAAGTCAGAGAAGTGAAAATGGAGATACTGAAGGAGGTTTCAAGAAAGAGAGAAACGAAGGGCGGGGTTTAAAAGAATGCAAGAGGCTCGGAGACCAGCCTGCTGGCGTAGCTGTGCATATTTACCTCGTGCAGCGAGAACGTTGTTTCAAAGACGTGCTCATGAAGGAGGTCCTTCAGCCCCTCTGAAAGAGAGGACACCAGAAACACTGAGCACCCTGTCAGACAGCAAGGTTTACTTTTCCTAAATGAAAATGAGAGGGATGTACATAACTGCCAGTTACCACCTCTGTGGGGTGCTTAGGTCTCTATGTAGTAAAAGGTGTACTGGATGCCTTCCTCTCTGGTGTCACATTGGTGTGAGTCGTGGGATACCGAGATCTGTTCTCTCCAGGAACAAACTGAGAAGCACAGTCTGAGAGTCTCCCCAAGCCCTACACATACTTTTAATTTATTCCCCAAACTCAAAATTGACTTTTGCTCTTTTGTTTCTATCAGATGTGTTGTGAGGGGGGGGGAGGGGGGGGGAGATACAGAAGAGAGACTCTGTTCGCCTTAACAGAGTTATGAAGAGGGTGGGTGCCATTATTGGGACACAGTACGGAAGAGGCCACGCTTATAGTGGGGGATGTGTGGAATCCTCTCCACACAGAGATCCTGGATCAAAAAAGCCTCTTCTGCGTCATTCAAAATCCCAGGGCGCATCTCGAAAAGAGTAGGGGGTGTCGCCCCGGCATCCTGGCCAAATTTCCCTCGGGAACCCTCAGGTGTAAGTATCCCCACTGCACCACAGAGAGCTTTAGGAGATCCTCTCCTCCTTCAGCCACCCGTGCGCTGATTAGCTCCAGAGACCTCTCAGGCATCTTATCCTGGACTCTTACTGGTCTTGTGCACTGCGTGGTGTGATCAGTCCTGTCACTCTCTGGAGAATGTACAGTATAGTGCCTGCCTGTTCTTAAGTAATTGGCATGTCTGTGCAGTGTTTTATATTTTTTATTGTATGCGCCGGAAACTGATTTTTCCCCCTTGGAGATTAGAAAAGTGTATCATATTTTTCATTTTTAAGGTAAGAGTGTTACTGCGATATCATTCGCCAGAACGACCAAGAGAGATCCAGCTACCCAATGTCAGGTGGTGGGCTTTAGAGCTCATCTGATGCTTAGAGGTTCCTTAGGCAAGTTCCTGGTCAGATCTGGGCTCTGAATACACATCTTACATACAAGTTAAAGATTGCAGCGATGTAACAGACATGTAAGTGAAGGGACACTCACCTCCATTATTGAGATAGGTGTTAAAGAGAATGAAGTGTGCCACCCTAATCCTGGAAGATAAAATCATTATATTTTAGGATCAGATAACTTCCATGGCGAAATAAGAACATGGCAGGCATCTGCGTAGGATATCTGGCACAATTCGGTTATCCGTGACTAGGTTATTGCTTGGGGAAAGAAATGCAATTAGCACAATGTCCAATGTCAGGTTAACTTGTTCACACTTGCTGAAACTCTCCCTGGGCCAGTTTAGAACGAACATTTTAATGGAAGAATAGTCACCTAGTGTTGCACAACAAGGACTGTGATAGAGAGGCAATGGAATCACACAAATTCCGATCGATCCATAGTTGATCATTGCCTAGGGCCTACGAAATGTTTAGGGCCTACGAAGGAGGGAAACAGTAATGACTAACGAAAAACGAGCTGGAGCAACATGCTTGCGGTCAACTCTCGGTGCTCCAGATCAATAATCCTACACTATTTAGTGCCTGTTCTAGAAACTAGAAGTATTGAAGTGATGGTCGCTCCATCAATCACTTGGTTTAACGTTTAATAATAATAAGAATTGCTTACACTTGTATAGCACTTTTCTGGACACTCCACTCAGAGCGCTTTACAGGTCATGGGGATCCCCTCCACCCCCACCAGTGTGCAGCCCCACCTGGATGATGCTCCAGTCCCCTCACACACACCAGCTCTCAGTGGGGAGGAGAGCAGAG